TGATGGTGTGTGCCTGTAATCCCAGATACTTGTGGGGCTGAGGCGGGGGGATCACTTGAATCCAGAGGTCAAGATTACGGAGAGCCATGGTCACACCACAGCACTCCAGCCTGAGCAACAGAAACATTATCTCCGCCAGGCACAGTGGTTCATTCCTGTAATCCCAGCACTTTGGGAGGCCGAGGTGGGCGGATCGCTTGAGGTCAGGAGTATGAGACCAGCCTGGCCAACATGGTGAAACCCCATCTCTACTAAAAACACAAAAATTAGCCGGGCGTGGTGGTGCACGCCTGTAATCCCAGCTACTGGCGAGGCTGAGGCAGGAGAATTGCTTGAGCCTGGGAGGCGAAGGCTACAGTGAGCCAAGATCGCACCACCCCACTCCAGCCTTGGCAACAGAGCGAGACTCAGTCTCAAAAAACAACAATTAAAAAAAAAAAACCAAAAAACAAAACAAAACAAAAAACAAAAAAACTGAAACCCAAACCAAAAACAAAACAGAGACATTATCTTGAAAAAAAAAAAAAATTTCCCCATTAGCTGTGAGGGCCACCTGGAGAGTGGTATTATCTGTCTTCTGTCTCCAGCTCCCCACGCATCACTGGGCACCTGTTTTTATTTACTTACTTACTTAATTTAGAGACAAGCATTTTAGTCAAGTTACTTGGTCAAGCAATGTAACCTCTCTCGGCCTCAGGTGATTGTTCTTTCTCTATAAAGTGGGAATCAATTTTAACCTAATAAGGGTCTTATTACCTCAAGCCACTCTCTTTAAAGGCATCCAGCAGCTGGGCGTGGTGGTACGTGCCTGTAATACTTAGGAGGCTGAAGTGGGAGAATCACTTGCACCCAGGAGGTGGAGGTTGCAGTGAGCTGAGATCATACCACTGCACTCCAGCCTGGGTGACAGAGTAAGACCCTGTCTCCAAAAAAAAAAAAAAAAAAAAAGGCATCCAACTCATCCCTAATCTCTTCCAATCATACCAGCATTGGTGACAGTGATCCTCATCTGAAAATTGTTTTTCAAATTTTTTTCAAATTAAATTTTTTTTTCCTTGTCAGCAGAAAGTCACATCTGAATGTCTTGCTTCATTACTTGCTGCTTCTCTTGTCTGCAATGCTACTAGGCACTGAGCACGTGGGACTGACTCCTTTACTGCTTGTCCCCAGCACCCAGCCTGGTGCTGGGCACGTAGACAGTGCTCAATAAGTGTTTGTTGAATGAATAACAAATGGTCCCACATAGATGTTCCATGAGGCGTCAGTGACATCAACATCATCTTTTTTTTTTTTTTTTTTTTTGGAGATGAGTTCTTACTCTGTTGCCCAGGCTAGAGTGCAGTGGTGCAATCATAGCTCACTGCAGCCTTGAACTCCTGAGATCGAGCAATCCTCCCACCCCAGTCTCCTGAGTAACTGGGATTCCAGATGCAGGCCACCTTGCCTGGCTATTTTAAAAAAACATTTTTTTTTTGTAGAGATGGGGGTCTTACTGTGTTGTCCAGGCTGATTTCAAACTCCTGGGCTCAAGTGATCCTTTTTCCTTGGCCTCCCAAAGTGTTGGGATTATAGGCATGAGCCACCACACCCAGCCAGTCACCATCATCTTTGATAGCTGCAACATGTCGGCTTGCTCACTGCCATCACCCTGGGGCCCAGCGTGTGCCTGGAACACAAGGGATACTTAGAAAACGGATGTGGAAAGGGTGAGTGGAGCTCAGCACATTCAAAGAGGGACTCAGGACCCTATGGGACCCTCTCCCCAAGGCCTGCCACCCTCTCTTTCCCATGCAACCCCTCCTCCAGCCCCAGGCAGCAGGGCCAGGATCAGGGACTCTTCCCAGCTGTCCGGCCCCCGCACATTCTGCATGGGCAGGACAAGCACAAGGACGAAAGCCAAGGTCATGTGCTTGGTAATACCAGTAGTCTGAATCCCTCTGGAGAACCACGGCCCCTGCCCAGGCCACTGCTACAGCTGTCCCCTGGAAGACAGAGGCCTCTGGTTAGCTCGGGGTGGGGATCCCCTCAGAACTGACTTTCCAGAGGCCAGCAGAGTCAGCTACATCAGGGACTTAGGGTTCGGGTTAGAATTAACCAAATTGTCGAACATCAGGCCAAGAGCTTACAAGACATCCTGGAAAAACCCTTCTTTCCTCCTCCTCCTCCTCTCCTTCCCCCCCACCTCCTCCTCCTCTCCTTCCCCCCCACCTCCTCCTCCTCCTCCGGTTGCTGGGCAACCACTATGCATCTGGACCAAAGCAAGAGGCAGCTGGTTTAAAGACACACACAGACTGAAAGTGAAGGGAGGCAAAAAGATATTCTTTGAAAATGAAAACTGAAAGAGATCAGGGGTAGCTATACTTGTATCAGATAAAATAGTTTTTAAGTCAAAACTAACACGAGAGGAAGAAGGTCATTATAAAATGAAAAAGGGGTCAGTTCATCAAGAGGATAAAACAATTATATATATATGCACCCAACATCAGAGGACCTAAATATATAAAGGAAATATATATGAAGGAAATATGAATAGATCTGAACTGCAATACAGGAATAGTACTGCACTTTCAACAACAACAACAAAAAACACCAGCCTGGGCAACATAGCAAGACCCCATCTCCACAAAATTAAAAAAAATATATTTGTGGGGTGTGGTGGTGCATATCTGTAGTCTCAGCTACTTGAAAGGCTGAGGCAGGAGGATTGCTGGAGCCCAGGAGTTCAAGGCTGCAGTGAGCCATAACAACATCACTGTACTCCAGCCTGGGTGACAGACTGAGACTCTGTCAAAAAAAAAAAAAAAAAAAGCAATGAACAGATCCAGGCAGAAAATCAGTAAGGAAACATTGGATTTGAAATACATTGTAGATCAAATGAAACTAATGACTTATGTAGAACATTCCATTTGACAGCAGTGGAACACATTCTCCTCAAGTGCACAGGGGACATACTCCAGGATAGACCATGTTAGACCACAAAGCAAGCCTAAACAAATGTTAAGATTGCCAGGTGTGGTGGCTCACGCCTGTAATCTCAGCACTTTGGGAGGCCGAGGCAGGCAGATCACGAGGTCAGGAGATCAAGACCATCCTGGCTAACATGGTGAAACCCCATCTCTACTAAAAATACAAAAGATTAGCCGGGCGTGGTGGTGGGCGCCTGTAGTCCCAGCTACTCGGGAGGCTGAGGCAGGAGAATGGTGTGAACCCAGGAGGCGGAGCTTGCAGTGAGCCCAGTTCGTGCCACTTCACTCCAGCCTGGGTGACAGAGTGAGACTCCGTCTCAAAAAAAAAAAAAAAAAGTAAAATTGCAATTATATCAATCTTTCTTTTCTGACCACAGTGATACGAAACTAGAAATCACTAATAGGAGGAATTCTGGAAAATTCACACGTGAGAAAATTAAACAATACTCTCCTACACAACCAATGGGTCAAAGAAGAAATTAAAAGGGAAATTTAAAAATATCTCGAGGCCAGGTGCAGTGGCTCATGCCTGTAATCCCAGCACTTTGGTGGCTGAGGCAAGAGGATCACCAGAGGCCAGGAGTTCAAGACCAGCCTGGGCAACATAGTGAGACGCCCCGCCATCTGTACAAATAATAAAAATAATTAGCCAGGCATGGTGATGCTCACCTGTAGTCCCAGTTATTTGGGAGGCTAAGGTGGGAGGAACACTTGAGTTGGAAGCTGCAGTGAGCTATGATTATGCTACTGCACTCAGCCTGGGTGATAGAGGGAGATCTGTCTCTAAAAACGAAACAAAATAAAACAGAAACAACAACAAAAAACATGAGACAAACTGAAATGGACATACAATATACCTAAACCAATGAATGCAGCAAAAGTGGTTCTAAGAGGGAAGTTTATAGCAATAAATAAATGCCTACATAAAAAAGAAGAAAGATCTTTCAAATAACCAAATTCTCTTAAAAAAAGAGGTAACTGGAGGCTGGGCATGGTGGCTCAAGCCTCCAATCCCAACACTTTGGGAGGCCAAGGCAGGCAGGTCACTTGAGGTCAGGAGTTTGAGACCAGCCTGGGCAACACAGTGAAACATGGTCTCTACTAAAAATACAAAAATTAGCCAGGCATGGTGGTGGGCCCCTGTAGTCCCAGCTACTTGGGAGGCTGAGGCAGGAGAATCGCTTGAACTCAGAAGGTGGAGGTTGCAGTGAGCCAAGATCATGCCACTGCACTCCAGCCTGGGCAACAGAGGAAGACTCTGTCTTAAAAAAAAAAAAAAAAAAAAAAAAAAGGGAGGCAGCTGGGCACAACAGGAGTCCAGGCCTGGCAGATGGGGCTCTTACAAGACTCGTGACCATGCAGGGCAGTGGGGGCTCATCAGAAGCCAAGAGTCTCATCAGGGACCTGGAGGCACCAGAGTTCAGGAGAGCTGCAGGCAGCTGGGGTCTGATATGCAAAAGTGACTACAGGAGGACCGCCACTTCTGCCAGTTCTCCCATTGCCCCTGTGCCTTTGTCAATGACCTCCCAGGCATCTGCTCTATGGCGCTTCCCCACTGGGGGACTGTTCTTTTCTTCACAGTATTTAAGAAATAAAAATTAGATTTTCCTGGCCAACAAAAAAAGTAAGTAACTTGGCTTCTCTGACTCTCAGTCTCCTCCTCTGTACAGTTGGGCCAATGGTGAGCACCCAGGAACATCCTACATCCCACTAGAGGTGCCTGCCACTGGTGGTGGCTGGTGCAGGCTTCCCAGAACATCTCATCGCTCCTGCCCACCACCTGGCCACTGCAACCGACTGGGCTTGTCTAGAAAGACACCTGCCTTCCCGCCCAACCCTGCAGGCTCTGGGATATTAGTCTCTGAATTTATCTGAGCTACAGGATGGAGACCACCCTCAACTGCTCCCATCATCAGAGATGCAGAACAGAAGTCGGTGTTGGGGGGCACTTGTTCCCCCAGCTGTGCTGATTTCACACTGGTGGAGAAGAGGACCCCTGCTGATAATGAATTTTATTTTTATTTTTTTTATGAGATGGAGTTTAGCTCTTGTCGCCCAGGCTGGAGTACAATGGCAAGATCTCGGCTCACAGCAACTTCCACCTCCCGGGTTCAAGTGATTCTGCTGCCTCGGCCTCCCAAAGTGCTGGGATTACAGGTGTGAGCCACTGCCCCCAGCCGATAGCCGATTACTCTTAATGCCCTCCAGCAGCTGCAGGAATGGAAGAGGCTAGTCCTGCCCCGAATGTGAAGGTCTGGCCTTCATTCACAGCAATTGTGGTCCTCATAACTCCGGGTTTTAACTCGGGGCCTCGACTCCCGGATCATCCCGTCTCTTGCTCCAACCCCTGGGTCCCGGGTCCCCAGAGCGCCCACCCCAGTGCACCTTGCATGCTGGCCCATGGAGGGCCCCCTTGCTGGGAACCCCTTCTCCCCGTGAAGGCTGCCGGCGGGACAAACGGTGAGGGGTGAGGCAGGGAGGGAGACTCACACGTAGGGGCCCTCCCCCAAGCCTGGGTAACACCGTCTTGGCCGCTGCCCGCGGGCTGGTCAGGTAGGGGGCAGTGGGCCGTAGCGGAGAGCCTGGGCCGGGCCCGCCACGCCGCTTCCCCACGCTCGCAGCCACGCGGAGCCGCGTCCTGGTCCAGCCTCACCCACCCAGAGCAAAAGAGGCGGAGGAACTGGAGCAGCGCCCGGGCCCGGGGGCTGCCTCCGGCCGCAGCAACTGGACGGGTGAGAGCACCTGCCCCCGGCGCGTCGTAGCTCCTCTGGTGGGGCGGGGCTGACCGTGCAGGCCCCGCCCCAGTCTAAGCCCCTCCTACAAAGCCCGGCCCCTTGCCATAAGCGCTATATGTCAGGCTCCGCCCACTGTTTTAAATCCCACTCACTCTGCCCTGCCCCTCATTCTGAGCTATATAGTAAGCCCCGCCCATAGCCATAAACCACGCCCACCCAGCCCTGCCCCTGGGCTCTAGGTGTCATTTATCTATCTAGTCACGTCCCCGGCTAGAAGCCACACCCACCAGACCCGGCCCCAGCTCTAAGCCCCACCCACCCGGCCATGTGGTTTGGGACAGGGAAGTAGGCTAGGGGCCGCCGCCTCTGGGCTCCCAGTGGAAGGGGAGAAATGAGAAAGCAGTTCAGGGTGTGATAAATACCCACAGAGGTCAGATGTAGCTATGGATGCAGGCGATAAAAAGTTTGAAGCAATCAGCTCTGCGGCCTCTGCAGCGCTCCTTTCGTCCTCCCTAATCTTCACCTCGTGTCTCCCCTAGTCCCTGTGTCCTGGGTGGGTCTTGCTGACCCAGGGAAAGAAGACATGCCTTCTCAGTGAATTTTGCTTTGCTTCCTGAGGGCATGGCTACCCGGGGCTCCTGGTTTTTCTTCCAAAAACAAAACATTTCTTCCATTTTTTTTTTTTTTTTTTTTTTTTTGAGACAGAGTTTCACTCTGGTTGCCCAGGCTGGAATGCAGTGGTGCAATCTCTGCTCACTGCAACCTCCGCCTCCCGGGTTCAAGCGATTCTCCTGCCTCAGCCTCCTGAGTAGCTGGAATTACAGGTGCCTGCCACCACGCTTGGGTAATTTTTGTAATTTTAGTAGAGATGGGGTTTTGCCATGTTGGCCAGGCTGGTCTCAAACTCCTCACCTCAGGGGATCCGCCTGCTTTGGCCTCCCAAACTGCTGAGATTACAGGTGTGAGCCACTGTGCCCGGTCACCGTTTTTTTCATTTTTTGAGACAGGGTCTTGCTCTGTTGCCCAGGCTGGAGTGCAGTGGCATGATCACGGCTCACTGCAGCCTCAACCTCCTGGGCTGAAGCAATCCCCCCACCTCAGCCTACCCAGTAGCTGGGACTACAGGTATGCACTACCACGTCGGGTTAATTTTTTTAAAATTTTTTATAATGACGCAGGTCTCTCTCTGTTGCCGGGGCTGGTCTTGAGCTCCTGGGCTCAAGCGATCCTCTGGCCTTGGCCTCCCAAAGTGTTGGGATTACAGACCTGAGCCACCATGCCTGGCCTAGAGAGTTCTTGTTGGGATTGTTCATCGGTGGGAAGTGCACCCTTGTGCCGTGCTGACTATATTCATAGAGTTATGTAACCATCACTCGCATCTAATTTCAGAACTTTTGTTCTGAAACTCATACCCTCTCGAAGTCACTCCTTCATTCTCCCCTTCCCCCATCCTATGGCCACCGATAATTTACTTTCTGTTTCTATGGATTTCCCTGTGGTCACAACCAGAGGATTTCTGTGACGTGCTAAGTTACCTAACTCTGGTGTGGAAGGAGAGGGAAAGTCAGGGACCCACCAGGGAACAGGTAGCTTGAGGGTGGGGGAAGCATGAAGGTAAGGGCTTGCTTTGGGGGCTCAAGGCAGTCTGAGCCTTGTTTGCAGGCAGCCAGCGTCCACCAGGTGTGTGCAGGTGAGGGAAACAGGGGAAAAAGGGCCCTTTCTGGAGACAGTAGGGGTGCTGGCTGGCAAGCCTGGGATGGGGAGTGGGGAGGCAAGGGGGCCTGTGAGTCGAGGTCGGAGCTTGCTGTAGAGGAGGGAGAATTCCAGAGGCTGAGAGTGCAGGTGTGGAGGAGGAGGAAGGGAGGAGGGCAGGCAGGGGGTGGCTGGGTGGGGCTCTGTCTATAAAGAGTGAAGCTCAGCGTCTTGGTCCTGCAGATGGAAGAGCTTGGCATACAGCCTGGCGGGCATCAGCTCCCTTGACCCAGTGGATATCGGTGAGTCTTTTCCTTGAACATGACTCAGATGACCAGCTTGTCCCTCCAGCACAACTTGTTCCCATTTTATGCAACCTCCTTCCCTTGCCATATGCCTGGCGCTTAAGATGGGGGTGTTCCCAGTACCCACTCCCTTCCTCTTCCTCAGTCCTCTCCACTTCTCTCCAGGACCCCAGGTGGCCCGGTTATTTGTCCAGGTGCCCAGGGAGGAGGACCCGCCTGCAGCATGAACCTGTGGCTCCTGGCTTGCCTGGTGGCCGGCTTCCTGGGAGCCTGGGCCCCCACTGTCCACACCCAAGGTACTGTGTTCGGCAATGCCTACCCCCAAGTGCCCATCTCCCCGTGCCCCCACCCCACCCCTTTTGTCCCTTATCTCTTCCAGAGGTCTCCCCAACCCCATCTCCACTGAATTCTCCTGCTCCTGACATGCAGGAACTCCTGGCGTTTGGGTAGCTCCTGGGATGGGGTTGGGGAGATGGAGTGTTCCCAGTTCCTTCTTCGAGAGCCCCATGGAGTCCTTCGCAAGACTCCTAAAGACATGAGGGAGCACATGGTGGCTTCCAGCTGTGGGCGAAGCCAGTTACTGCCAGCGATATATTGTAGAACCCTAATCCTGCCAAGCCAGGGGTGGGGCTGGAAATCAGCGCCCTGGAGACTGACAGGAGTGGATTCCCATCCTGGTCCCTCCATGCAGTCCAGCTGAGAGTTAGTTGCTCCTAAACCGTTTTTTTTGTTTGTTTGTTTTGGTTTTTTTTTGAGACAGAGTCTCACTCTGTCGCCCTGGCTGGAGAGCAGTGGTGCGATCTTGGCTCACTGCAACTTCTGTCTCCTGGGTTCAAGCAATTCTTCTGCCTCAGTCTCCCAAGTAGCTGGGACTACAGGCACATGCTACCATGCCTGGCTAATTTTTGTATTTTTAGTAGAGATGGGGTTTTACTATGTTGGCCAGAGTAGTCTCGATCTCCTGATCTCAGGTGATCCACCCGCCTGAGCCTCCCAAAGTGCTAGAATTACAGGCGTGAGCCACTGCGCCCGGCTTCCTAAACTTTAGGAGTCTCCATTTCCTCAGCTGCAAAGTGGGAATCTAAACTTCACACTGCATGGCTCTGACTTGAGGGTCCAGTGAGCTCATGCCTGCACAAGACTAGGCCTCGTGTCTGGCGGCAGCAATAATAACTGTTCCTGTTATTAATAGGGAACGCTCCTTCTTCCCCCACTCCCTACCACAGAGCAGGCACTTGGGGATTTCAGTTGCCAAAGGACAGTTCCTGAGCCTGGGGTGTCCCCACGGGAGCCCTGACATTGGATCCTACATCCTCTGAGTTTCAGCAGCTGGCCAAAGCAGGGCCCCTGGCTGCGTGGCAGACCCAGGGCTCCACCCTCCTGTCCTGTCTGCCCCCACCTGCCCCACCTGGCCCTCGGCTGGGTCTGATGGGTCCAAGTCCTTAGCCTTTGCCCGGGAAGGGGGTTGGGCTGTGGTCTGATTGTTTTGCTATCAGAGCCGGGCCCAGCCCGGCCCTTTGATCCTGGCCCCCAGCCTTGGGAACTACCTGCCTGGCACTGCAGCCCGAGGTTCCAATGGAACGCGCTGCCCCTTGCCCTCAGAGGCCGAGGTTGGGAGATACCTGGAGGGCTTGAGTCCTCCCTCTCCCTGCTCCTGCTGGGCTGGGCTCTGTAGGGACTCAGACTTGACCTCTGGAGGTTAGTTCTGGCAGGGGTGGGATTGCAGAGAACTCCAAAGGCCATTTGGACAGAGAATTGTGCCCCAGCTTCCACCACCATCTCATCAGCTCATCCTCGGCTCATTCATTCCACCTGCTCATCCCCCCAGAACTTTCTGGCAGCATCACCTCCTCCTCTGGGCACCCCCCACAGTGCCTGTGCTTCCTCCTCTCTGTAGAGATCAATCTCCCTGGAGCTCCATGAAGACAACACTAGGTCTAATTCATCTGTGGGTTTCATTTCTGCTTCTCTAGACAACTGGCATTTACTGAGAGCTCCATACTTTGTATTAACACTTTTTTTTTTGTTTGTTTGGTTGGTTGGTGTTTTGTTTTGTTTTATTGAGACGGAGTTTTGCTATTGTCGCCCAGGCTGAAGTGCAATGGCACGAAGTCGGCTCACTGCAATCTCCACCTCCTGGGTCCAAGCGATTCTCCTGCCTCAGCCTCTGGAGTAGCTGGGATTAAAAGCCCCCACCATCAGCAGGGCACAGTGGCTCATGCCTGTAATCCCAGCACTTTGAGAGGCCAAGGCGAGTGGATCACCAGGTCAAGAGATCAAGACCATCCTGGTCAACATGGTGAAACTCCATCTCTACTAAAAATACAAAAATTAGCTGGTCGTAGTGGCGGGCACCCGTAATCCCAGCTACTCAGGAGGCTGAGGCAGGAGAATCGCTTGAACTCAGGAGATGGAGGTTGCAGTGAGCTGAGATTGTGCCACTGCACTCCAGCCTGGGCGACAGAGTGAGACTCCAGAAAAAAAAAAAAAAAAAAAAGGCGCCCGCCACCATGCCCAGCTAATTTTTGTATTTTTTAGTAGAGACGGGGTTTCACCATGTTGGCTGGGCTGGTCTTGAACCACTGACCTCAGGTGATCCACCCGCCTTGGCCTCCCAAAGTGCTAAGATTACAGGCGTGAGCCACTGTGCCTGGCCAATTTTTGTATTTTTAGTAGAGATGGGGTTTCACCATGTTTTCCAGGTTGGTCTCGAACTTCTGACCTCAAGCAATCTGCCCACCTCGGCCTCCCAGTGTGCTGGGTTTATAGGCATAAGCCACCATGCTGAGGCTCCAATCAGCTCATTTTTAGGAGGGTAGAATTTGGCTGGGAAGGGGTGGTGTTGGCCCCTCCTCAGAGTGCACCTGCACTCTGAGTCACCCTTTTCCCCAGGGCAGGAGTAGAGGTGGCCTTGGTCCGTTCATTTGCTGGTTCCACACCCTTCCCAGCCGGGACCCAAGGGTCCTCTCCAACTTCTGGCTGTCCCAATATCCAGGGGTAAGGGGTGAGCCAGGTGGCTTTCTTTTCCTAAGGCTGTTCCTCAGCCTCTGGCGGGCCTGGAAGGGTTGTGGTATGAGCAGACAGGTATGCAGACAGGTGCCCTTGTCTGTGGCTGGCCCCGCCAAGCTCACAGGCAAGGCTGCGAGTGTCTGGGTGGCTGTGTGGTTGCAGGTGTCTTTGAGGACTGCTGCCTGGCCTACCACTACCCCATTGGGTGGGCTGTGCTCCGGCACGCCTGGACTTATCGGATCCAGGAGGTGAGCGGGAGCTGCAATCTGCCTGCTGCAATGTGAGTGGGGCCATGGGGGCTGGCAGGGTGAGGTGCACACACAGCCTTGCTCTCAGCCTATACCCTAATCTGGGCACCCCGCTCTGCTCACCACAGATTCTACCTCCCCAAGAGACACAGGAAAGTGTGTGGGAACCCCAAGAACAAGGAGGTGCAGAGAGCCATGAAGCTCCTGGATGCTCGCAATAAGATTTTTGCCAAGTTCCGCCACAACACGCAGACCTTCCCAGGTGAGCGAGACCCCCACTGGGCATCTAGGGAGCCCGCCCTCCCTGCCTGCAAGCCCATGTGTGGCTCAGACCCCGAGGGAGGGAATTGGAGACCAGAATACTGACACCTGCCTGAACCCCACACAAAGCCAGTTGCTGGTGAGTGGGGCACCAAGTGAATGACCAACTTATTGAGTCATTGTTCAGTTTTTGTTTTTGGAGATGGGGTCTTGCTCTGTTGCCCAGGCTGGAGTGCAGTAGCATGACCATAGCTCACTGCAGCCTCGAACTCATGGGCTCAAGCAATCCTCTCACTTCAGCCTCCCAAAGTAGGTGGGATTACAGGTGTGTGCCACCAGTCCAGCTCTTTTATTATTATTATTTTGAGACAGAGTCTTACTGTGTCACCCAGGTTGGAGTGCAGTGGTGCCATCACAGCTCACTGCAGCCTTGACCTCCCAGGCTCAAGCAATCCTCCTACCTCAGCCTCCTGAGTAGCCAGGACTACAGGCATGCTCCACTAATCCAGCTCATTATTATTATTTTAGTTTTTATTTTTATTTTTTGAGATGGAGTCTTGCTCTGTCATCCAGGCTGGAGTGCAGTGGCACAATCTCGGCTCACTACAACCTCTGCCTCCCGAATTCAAGTGATTCTTCTGCCTCAGCCTCCTGAGTAGCAGGAGCGCAGGCTCATGCCACCACGCCTGGCTAATTTTTGTATTTTTAGTAGAGACGGGATTTCACCATGTTGGCCAGGCTGGTCTTGAACTGCTGACCTCAGATGATCTGCCCGCCTTGGCCTCCCAGAGTACTAGGATTATAGGCATGAACCATCATGCCCGGCTGCAGCTCATTGTTATTGTTGTTGTTGTTATTATTATTATTTTGAGACAGGGTTTTACTCTTGTCACCCAGGCTGGAGTGCAGTAGCACAATCACAGCTCACTGCAGCCTTGTGTTCCTGGGCTCAAGCAATCCTCCCACCTCAGCCTCCCAAGTAACTGGGATGACAGGCATACACCACCATGCCTGGGTAATTTTTTGTTTTCATTTTGCAGAGACAGGTTGTGCCATGTTGCCCAAGCTGGACTGGAACCCCTGGACTCAAGCAATCCACCTGCCTTGGCCTCCCAAAGTGCTGGGACTATAGGCATGAGCCACTGCACCCAGCCAGTCCAGCTCTTTTAATCAGGACACTTCCCATTGGTGCAGATGGAAAGCTCAAGCACATGGGAGACTCATTGGCTTAAATAACCAGTCAACAGCTTCAGGCTCAGCTGGATCCAGGAGCTCAAAGGATGATGGCAGAGCTCTTGCTTATTTCTCTCTCCATTTCTCCAGCAGGCTCTCATGCTGCAAAGAAGTTGAGTTCTGCAAACTCCAAACTACCATCGTCTAAGTTTAGCAATCCCACCAGCAGCAGCAAGAGGAATGCCTCCCTCCTGACATCAGCTAATTCAGGTAAGGACTCTTGGTCATGTGACCGTCTCCTATCCATCACCTTTGCTGAGGGCTGAGGGCTCATGATTGGCTCACGCTGGGACAGGAGATTCACCTCCAGGACCAAGGAGGGGTGGTTGTGTGGTCAGCGCTGCACGTTCACAGGGGAGGGTCCTCGGTGGCTGTCCACTGCCGTGACCCAACCCAAAGACACTAAAGTGCGAAAGTGAAGCCCCAGGGGAGTGGCCCAAGAGCTCCAGGGCCCCCCACACCCAACAATTCTTCAGCAGGAACCAGGTGGGTGTGCTGTAATTCTATTGAATTCTGACATTGTCTCTCTCTATATAATATATATATAAATTTATATATAAACTATATAGAATAAATTACATATTATATATTATATATCATATATATTATGGACATGATATACGAGATATATATGATATATAATTAATATATAACATAATACATATTTACATATTATATAAATATACAATTAATATATTTAATTATAATTATATATAAAATATAATTATATTACATAAATCATATATAAAATATGATACATAATATAAATATATATTATATATGTAAATATATAATGTATAACAATATATAATATATAAATATATATAAAAATATATATACAAAAACATATATTTTATGACAGGGTCTCACTCTGTTGCTGAGGCTGGAGTGCAGTGGTGCCATCTCGGCTCACTGCAACCTCCGCCTCCAGGGTTCAGGCGATTCTCGTGCCTCACCCACCCAAGTAGCTGGGATTACCGGCCGTGCATCACTATGCCTGGCTAATTTTCATATATTTAGTAGACATGGGGTTTCGTCATGTTGCTTAGGCTGGTCTCGAATTTCTGGCTTCAAGCAATTCTCCCACCTCGGCCTCCCAAAGTGCTGGGACTGCAGGCATGAGCCACTGCGTCCAGCTGACATTGTCTATCTGGAGGTAGTGACACAACCCACAGGTTAAGGACTCAGTCCCCCAAGACTGCCCCCATTTCAGATGCTGATTGCAAGTAGCAAGTTGTCACCTGTATTTCTGACTGATTGGCTGTAAGTCAGGGCTTGCACCTCTGGTTGGATCATTTGCTAGAATAGCTCACAGGCTCAGGGAAACGCTCTACTTACGTTTACCATTTTATTGTAAAAGATTACAAAGGGGCTGAGCATGGTGGTTCACGCCTGTAATCCTAGCACTCTGAAAGGCTGAGGCAGAAGGATCAATTGAGCTGAGGAGTTCGAGACCAGCCTGGGAAACATAGCAGGACCCTGTCTCAAGAAAAAAAAAATTTTTTTTTAATTAGCTAGTTGTGATGGTATGCACCTGTAGCTCCAGCTGCTTAGGAGGCTGAGGTGAGAGGATTACTTGAGCCTAGGAGGTAGAGGTTGCAGTGAGCTATGATCATACCACTGGAACTTCAGCCTGGGAGACAAAATGAGAGCCCATCTCAAAAAAAAAAAAAAAAAAGAGCTGGGTGCGGTGGCTCAAGCCTGTAATCCCAGCACTTTGGGAGGCTGAGACAGGCGGATCACGAGGTCAGGAGATTGAGACCATCCTGGCTAACACAGTGAAACCCCGTCTCTACTAAAAATACAAAAAACTAGCCAGGCGAGGTGGCGGGCGCCTGTAGTCCCAGCTACTCGGGAGGCCGAGGCAGGAGAATGGCGTAAACCCGGGAGGCGGAGCTTGCAGCGAGCGGAGATCCGGCCACTGCACTCCAGCCTGGGCGACAGAGCAAGACTCCGTCTCAAAAAAAAAAAAAAAAGATAGATATTACAAAGGATAGGGATGAATAAGCCAGATGGAAGAGATGCTTAGGTAGGCAAAGACTGGAAGAACTCAAGTGCAGGGGCTTCTGTCCCCATGGAGTTGGGGTACACCACCCATCCCACACACGTGGATGTGGTCACAAGACCCTGAACCCCATAGTTCAGGCTTTTTTTTTTTTTTTAGAGATGAGGTCTCATTCTCTCTGCCAGGCTGAAGTGCAGTGGCACAGTCATAGCTCACTGCCTCATTGAGTAGCTTGGACCACATAGCTCACTGTCTCAGCCTCCCGAGTAGCTGGGACTACAGGCCAGTACCCTCAGCTTACCAGAGATCTTTTTTTTTTTTTTTTTTGAGATGGAATCTCACTCTGTTGCCCAGGCTGGAGTGCAGTGGCATGATCTTGGCTCACCGCAACCTCCGCCTACTGGGTTCAAGCGATTCTTCTACCTCAGCCTCCCAAGTAGCTGGGACTACAGGTGCGTGCCACCACACCTGGCTAATTTTTTGTATTTTTAGTAGAGACAAGGTTTTACCATGTTAGCCACAATGGTCTCAATCTCCTGACCTCAGGTGATCCACCCACCTCAGCTGCCCAAAGTGCTGGGATTACAGGCGTGAGCCACTGCGCCTGGCCTTCACCAGGGATTTTTTTTTTTTTTTTTTTTTTTGTATTTTTAGTAGAGACGGCATTTCACTATGTTGGCCAGGCTGGTCTCAAACTCCTGACCTTGTGATCCGCCTGCCTCGGCCTCCCAAAGTTCTGGGATGACAGGCGTGAGCCACTGTGCCCGGCCAACCAGAGGTTTCTTTAGAGGTTTCATCACATAGGAGTGAAGGATGATTAACTCCATTTCCAACCTTCTTCCCCTTCCTGGAGAATGGGACTGAAAGCTCCTAGTTTCTAATCAACAGCTTGGTCTTGCTGGTGACCAGCCCCCACCCAGAAGCCCACCAAGAGTCACCTCATTAGAATAAAAGATGTCCCCATTACCCAGGAAACTCCAAGGGATCCAGAGCTCTGTGTCAGAAACAGAATTCAAAGACCAAACATTAGCACAAAAGGCCAGGCGCGGTGGCTCACGCCTGTAATCCCAGCACTTTGGGAAGCTGAGGCAGGCAGATCACGAGGTCAAGAGATCAAGACCATCCTGGCTAACATGGTGAAACCCCGTCTCTACTAAAAATACAAAAATTGACTGGGCATGGTGGCGGGCACCTGTAGTTGCAGCTACCTGGGAGGCTGAGGCAGGAGAATCACTTGAACCTGGGAGGCGGAGGTTGCAGTGAGCCGAGATTGCACCACTGTACTCCAGCCTGGCAACAGAGCGAGACTCTGTCTCAAAAAAAAAAATCAGCACAAAAGATTCTAGCACTCCTATTACTCAGAAACTCATAAGGGTTTTAGGAGCTGTGTGCTAGGGACTGGAGGTAGAGACCAATGCATATCGTTGCTATTATTTCACAGCCATCAATTTCACTTTGGCCTAATTGCTTCTGCAGGACTGTGAGCCGACTCATTTCTGGGATCCATCGGCACAGGAGGGGCCAGATCTTTCTCCGCTAAAACCATTGCCCTACAGACCCAGCTGTCCCCACGCCTCTGTTTTTCGGGTCAAGTCTTAATCCCTGCACCTAGGTTGGTCCTCCCTCTCCACCCCCACCACCTCCTGTCCCTCTGGCAACTGGAAAGAGAGAGTTGACCTGATTTTAAGCCTTTTGCCACTCCAGGGACCGGCGTCAACACTGAGCAGCCAGTGTCTCTTGTAGAGAAGACTTAGGATACCTCTCTCACTTGCTGTTTCTTGCCACCCCCCCTGAGCCATCCCAGTGTGTCCCTCTGGGTCCCTGCAAAACTCTAGTCAGTTCAAGGATGCCCCTCCCAGGTTATGCTTTTCTATAACTTTTAAATAAACCTCGGGGAGTGATGGAGTCATTCCTGCCTGTTATGTTTCATGATGAGGTGCAAGTTGCTGCTGCCCCACCCTGGGGTGAAGCCAATGCGATTTTTGCCACCCCAAGCTCTCCTAACAGACAGCTCTCGAGGGGCCAAGCAGTAGCTGCTGGCTGCAAATTGCACTTCCCAGCTGGTGACCTTGAAACAATTGGTCACTCTCTGGTACCTCTCAGCTTGTCTGTAGAATAAGGGTCACTGCGCTCGCTCTGCTTAGATTCCAGGGCTGTGGTGAGTCCAGCTGATGGACACAGAAGCCCTCTGCAAGCTCTTATGGGCTGCCTGGAGGCCACTGGTAAGTCAGGTGGGCCAGGAGTGGACCAAGGACAGAGCTCTGGTGCCAGGCGCTAGTGACAATTCTGCAGGTGGAGGCCTGAGTCACCACCCGATGATGCTGTCTTCGGTCCTTGGCAACCTGAGTTTCCATCACAACAGAGAATGATCTGGATGAAAACCAACACACATTGGCTGGGCACAGTGGCTCACATCTGTCATCTCAGGACTTTGGGAGGCTGAGGTGAGTGGATCACCTGAGGTCAGGAGTTCAAGGCCAGCCTGGCCAATATGGTGAAACCCCATCTCTACTAAAAATGCAAAAATTAACCAGGCGTGGTGGCGGGCGCCTGTAATCCCAGCTACTCAGGAGGCTGAGGCAGGAGAAATGTTTGAATCCGGGAGGCAGAGCTTGCAGTGAGCCGAGATCACACCACTGCCCTCCAGGGTGACAGAGCGAGAGTCTGTTTCAAAAAAAAAAGGAAAACCAAGCACATCATCTCTTAGGGGACACCCTGGTGGTTTGGGGTCAGGGACTGGGATGAAGTTGCAGAAGAAATGCAGTCACGTTCAGTGTTCAGGCTCCACCGCACACTATGTGGGTGATCCAGACAGGTTCCACAAGCTCTCTCAGCCTCAATTTTGCCCCCCTGGGAAATGGGGGTGATAATACTGCCTGCCTCATAGCGCTTTGTTGGGGACCAAATACACTGTGATGTGTAACATGTACAGCACACAGTATATGCTGTGTATTTATTAACACAATGAATATCCTGGCCATTGGAGTTCCCCTGGAACCAGGAAGGGTAGTGTGGGGGCTGATGGCCCGGGAACATGCCCACCTTTTTTTTTGAGACAGAGTCTCCCTGTGTCACCCAGGCTGGAGTGCAATAGCACAATCTCCGCTCACTGCAACCTCCACTTCCCAGGTTCAAGCGATTCTCCTGCCTCAGTCTCCTGAGTAACTGGTATGACAGGCATGCACCACCAACCCTGGCTAATTTTTGTATTTTTAGTAGAGATGGAGTTTCACCAAGTTGGCCAGGCTGGTCTTGAACTCCTGACCTCAAGTGATCCACCCGCCTCGGCCTCTCAAAGCACTGGGGTTTTAGGCATGAGCCACTGCACCTGGCTGCCCAACTTCCTCCCCTTCCCTCATCTTTTTTCTTTTCTTTAGTGGAGTCTTGCTCTGTTGCGTAGGCTGGAGTGCAGTGGCATGATCTTGGCTCACTGCAACCTCCACCTCCCAGGTTCAAGTGATTCACCTGCTTCAGTCTCCCAAGTAGCTGGGATTACAGGCGCCCACCACCACGTGTGGCTTTTTTTTTTTTTTTTTTTTTTTTTTCCAGTAGAGGCAGGGTTTCACCATGTTGGCCAGGCTGGTCTCAAACTCCTGACCTCAGGTGATCTGCCCACCTCGGCCTCCCAAAGTGCTGGGATTACAGGTGTGAGCTACCGCACCCCATCAGGTCACCCAACTTTCAACCTGGCCTGACCTTGGCCAAGGTGTTTAACTTCTCCAAGCCTCAGTTTTCCCTGTAGAACGGGGATGGTAATAGCATCTATCCCGTGAGGTTGTAGTGGCAACCAAAGTAGTCAATCATCCTAAAATACTTAGACACTCACGCCTGCAATTCCAGCACTTTGGGAGGCCAAGGCAGTAAGATCACTTGAGCCCAGGAGCTCAAGACAAGCCTGGGCAATATAGGGACACCCCTATCTCTGTTTCTTTTGTTTTTCTTTTTGAGACGGAGTCTTGCTCTGTCGCCCAGGCTGGAGCGCAGTGGCACGATCTCGGCTCACTGCAAGCTCCGCCTCCTGGTTCACACCATTCTCCTGCCTCAGGCTCCCGAGTAGCTGGGACTACAGGTGCCCGCCACCACGCCCAATTAATTTTTTGTATTTTTAGTAGAGACAGGGTTTCACCATGTTAGCCAGGATGGTCTCGATCTCCTGACCTCGTGATCTGCCTGCCTCGGCCTCCCAAAGTGCTGGGATTACAGGCGTGAACCACCGTGCCTGGCTGGGACACCCCCATCTCTAAGAAAAATAAATTTTAGGCCAGGTGTGGTGGCTCACGCCTGTAATCCCAGCACTTTGGGAGGCTGAAGCAGGAGGATCATGTGAGCTCAGGAGTTTGAGATAAGCCTGGACAACATGGTGAAACCCCGTCTCTACTAAAGATACACAAATTAGCCAGGTATCGTGGCACACACCAGTAGTCCCAGCTACTTGGGAGGCTGAGGCACAAGAATCATTTGAACTCGGGAGGTGGAGGTTGCAGTGAGCCAGGACTGTGCCACTGTAGTCCGGCCTGGGTGACAGGGTGAGACTCTGTCTCAAAAAGAAAGAGAAAGAAAAAGAAATTTTAAAAAATTAGCTGGGTGTAGTGGCGTGCACCTTTGCTCCCAGCTACTTGGGAGAGGCTGAGGTGGGAGGATTGCTTGAGCCTAGGAAGCGGTGACCACAGTGAGCCATGATCGCGCCACTGCACTCCAACCTAGGCAACAGAGCAAGACCCTGTCTCAGAAAAAATAAAAAAAAAAATTGGAATGGTGTCTGGTATGCAGTACCTGATCAGGAAGCATGAGTCGTTATTACCAGTCTGGGGAGCCCACAACGCCTTCTACTTCCCCAGGCACGAGATCTGCCTCGCCCAGCCCGAGGGCAGGATCTGCTTACTTCAAGAACTTGCCAACGGGCAGGCAGACTTAACCCAAAATAACTTTATTATCGTCTCCACTTTGATATAAAAGCATTCTCCAAATGGAGGGCAAATGCGGCAAGTCACGTGGGGTCTGGGCCCCCTGCACACCCTTCTGCTCCGAGGGATAAGCCCTGTGCCCACCCCAGTTGCCCACTGCCATGTCCTGCCAACCCCCACCCCCCAAACCAGGGCAAGCCACAGTGCAGTACAGAAGTGAAAGCCTGAGATTGACCAGACACGGTCACCACAGGGCCTCTTCCTGACCTTGGCTGTGGGGCGGGGGGTGCACATTGCAGCTTCTTCTTGTCTCCAGGAAAGACTGAGTAACTGGGGGTCCCCCGGGGCTGGCACAGAGGTCCGGGCAGAGGCCGGGCTCGCCTGAGGTTGACGTGTAGCATTTCACTCTTCCTGAGTTTCGGGGTTCCACCTGATCAGCTGTCACTGCTGGGGATCAGTCCTTCCCAGTTCCAGAAGCTCCCTTCTCTGGACAGCTGAGGCCCATTGAGGCTCCTCCAACTAAAGCAACTGCAGCTGCACCTTCAGCCGCAAGGCCTGGCCCCGGGGCCCTGGCTGCCCCTCTGGCTGGACACCCCAGGGTCCTGCCACGTTGCTCACCACCTCCAGCTGGTAGGTTCCAGGCCTCGGCCGCCTCCGCCCCAGCTGCAGGGAGCTGAAGCCACGGAGGTGACGCATGCGGAAGAAACCTTGCTCATTTCCACGGGCAATGACGTAGCGGACCCGGCCCTCCAGACCCTCCAGGGCCGGCCGGAGCTCCACGATGCGCTTGGCCCGGCCCAGGTGTGAGAGGTTCAGACCCAAGGTCAGCAGGGCCTCGGAGTCAAGGGTGGCCAGGCTCACCTGGGAAGAAAGGCCAGGTGTGTGGTCAGAGCCCACAATAATCCAGATGTGGAGTGGGTAGGGGGTCCTGGGATTGTGGCCAAAGAGGAGATTTTGGCCAGTCTCTAAAGTGAAGGAAAGAGCCATAAAAAGGAATGAAATCATGTCATTTGCAGCAATGTGGATGCAGCTGGAGGTCATTATCCTAAGCTCATTAATGGAGAAACAGAAGACCAAATACGGCGTGTTCTCAGTTATAAGTGGGAGCTAAAAATTACTTACCCGTAGACACAAAGATGGGAAGAACAGACAATAGGACTACTAGAGCAGAGAGAGAGGGAGGGAGACAAGGGTTGAAAAATGACCTATTGGGAGGCCAGGCGCGGTGGCTCACGCCTGTAATCCCAGCATTTTGGGAGGCCGAGGCAGGTGGACCACAAGGTCAGGAGTTCAAGACCAGCCTGACCAATACGATGAAGTCCTGTCTCTGCTAAAAATACAAAAATTAGCTGGGCGTAGTGGTGGGCGCCTATAGTCCCAGCTACTTGGGAGGCTGAGGCAGGAGAATCGCTTGAACCCGGGAGGTGGAGGTTGCAATGAGCTGAGATCACGCTACTGCACTCCAGCCTGGGGGACAGAGCAAGACTGTCTCAAAAAAATAAATAAATAAATAAATAAATAAATAAATAAATGGAAAACTACCTATTGGGAACTATGTTCACTGCTTGGATGAGGGATCAGCAGAAGCCCAAACCTCCTCATCATCCAATATACCCATCTATTAATAACAAACCTGTACCCTCTGAATCTAAAACGAAAAACAGGCTGGACACAGGGGCTCACGCCTATAATTCCAGCACTTTGGGAGGCTGTGGCAGGAGCTGAGGCCAGGATTTCTTTGTTTCTTTCTTTTCTTTTCTTTTCTTTTTTTTGAGATGGAATCCCGTTCTGTTGCCCAGGCTGGAGTGCAGTGACATGATCTCAGCTCACTACAACCTCTGCCTCCCAGGTTCAAGTGATTCTCCTGCCTCAGCCTCCCAAGTAGCTGGGATCACAGGTGCCTGCCATCGCGACTGGCTAATTTTTGTATTTTTAGTAGAGACAGGGTTTCGCCATGTTGGCCAGGCTGGTCTCAAACTCCTGGCCTCAAGTGATCCCCTCACCT